AGATGAGCCCTGGGCTTGATGGGCACCCAGTTCACCTGAATTCACCCAAGCCTGCTCAAAACTGTTACTGCCTCCCCCTCCTCCTGAACCATCCAGTTGCAAAGAAGCGTGTTCCCTGCTCCGCCGCTCTACGTCACAAAGGGATGGGGAATGCCCCCACCACAACTACCGCCACTGATTGGGTCAGGAGAAGGAAATGGCGGTCAGAGTTTTGAGCGGGCTTGGGCGAACTCAGGTTAACTGGGTTCACACCAAGCCCCAGCTTCATCTCTAGTCATGAGTTACATCTGAAGAACATTTATAGAAGCATGGAAGAGCGACACCTTAGTCTTGCGATGGTTGTAAAGTGATTAAAAAAACGTACGATCTGCCCATCTTGGACAGGCAGATCGTACTCTCGATCATCGCAAGCCCGCCCCCCTGAGGGGCGGGCTTCCGATGACCGCAATGCTAAACGGGCAGTGTGCACCTGCGCACACTGGCCCGTTCGGCATTTGTCTCCCGAGCACCGTTCAAACCAGCCGAAAATCGTATGATTCTCGGCTGGTTTTCTAACATGCTCCTTAGACAAAAGACGTGCGACCGTACAGTAGAAACGGTCGCACGTCTTTGTTCACACTGCTCGATTCTCGTACGATCGCGGGATTTCCCGCGATTCTCGTACGAGAATCGAGCAGTGTATGGGCACCTTTATACTTAATGGGGGGAATTTATCAAAACTGGAGCAGATATCTCTCTTCATTTTGCTCCCCCCCATGTATTTAAAATTAATTGTTATGATTGTCTTTTAATGCTTACTTTGCTTTTTTTTTGCTTTAGGCATACACGCATTTTCAATGTATCTAAAGCCAATATATATTTAAAGCTGAACACAGCTATAATGCTTTATATATACTTACATTGGTCCAGCTTGGCATAATGTAAGTATACATAAATTATCCCTGGCAGGGCCACGGGGCCCTGTAAAACACTGTGGTAGTCTTGTCTATTCCAATACTTCACAATGATCTTTCAGATCCTGTACAACCGCTGTCATGAGCGACTTCCCCTCTGCTGTGACACGGGGTCACTTACTCAGCACAGCAGTCATTCACTAAACGCATACTATTAGACATGTGCAATTCATTTCGCAAAGATTCGTCATTTGGACGACTTTTCGGAAATTCATACACTCGGATGCATCCAAATTTCTGAATGACAGAAATAATAAATGCAATCGAATACGAATTTCCCATAACAAAAATTTCGGATGCATCTGAATTTCTTTCCCGAATAAAGTTTTATTGTGTTAAGCATCAATTTTTTTAAAAAATCGGAATTTTCGTTAGCGGTAGTATGTGCGAATTTTCATTAGGAACGAATATTCGTTGCAGCAAAGTGACATTTTTACAATCTGCAAAAAGGCGTGAGGTTCCACCCCAATTGATATCAGACCCTGTAGGTCTGGTTGGATTGTGAGGAGGGACCCCCCCAAGTTAACAAAAAAAATGTGTGGGGTTCCTCCAAAAGTCATACCAGGCCCTTGATCTGAGCACAGGCAGGAAAGGAAGGGGACGATCGAGCACCCCTCCCCCTCCCTGCGCCATACCAGGCCACGTGCCCTCGGCTTTGGGAGGGTGTCCCAATGCCGATGAGCACAAGGGCCTCTTCTCCACAACCCTGACCCGGTGGTTGTAGGGGTCTGCGGGCAGGGGGAGCTTATTCGCATCAGTGTACCCCTTTAATTAAGGGGGCACCCATATGCTGCCGCCCCCCTTTTGATTCTAATAAGGAGTATGGGTTTTGTCCCCCATTTTCTGGGGGTGGGGTTCCCCTTTAAAACTTTCAAATTCAAAACAGAAAA